CCACCCTCCTTTCCCAGGCCTGCCCCAGCCCCAGGCTCTCCTCCCCCAGCAGCTTCAGCCCCTTACGATGACTGTCCTGTCCTGCAACCTGGGTGCCAGCATTCACCTGGTGTGTCAGGAGCAGGCAGGACATGGACAAGCCTGCCCTCTTTCTAGGTTACCCGGACCACATGGTGTTCTCTGAGTTCCGCCGCCGCTTCGATGTCCTGGCCCCACACCTGACCAAGAAACATGGGCGAAACTACATTGTGGTGGATGAGAGGCGGGTAGGTCTGGGCCCCAGAAGCCCACCGGACCCCCCTTCCTTCTGCCCAGACCCCTCCGAGCAGCTACCCCTCGTCCCCTTGAAAGAGCCCGGCTGCCCCTTGCTCAGGCTCCTGGTTTTGGCCACCCAGGGTCAGAACAGGGGCCCATGGCCACCAAGCTGTGCCGGTCGGGAGAAGGTAGCCTGGGGCGTGGACTGTAGGGATTGGAGAAGAGCCACCCTCTTTGGAGGCCAGAGTTGGGGGTCTCTGCTCTCTAGTGAGCTCGTCATCATCTACGCAAGTCTCCCAGGTGGCAGATAAGAACTAGTGTTTTGGGTGTTACCCCGGGTAGCCCCTGGGCCTTGCCTCCTGAGTCACAGACCCACATTCACAGACACCTCGGAAACTTCTCTCCATCCAGGACTGCCAGTGTCCTGGGCGACCTTGGTGTACATGTAGATGACCCACCCCACAGCACCCTTCTCTCTGACCCCTGACCTTTATTCCAGCTTCCCACTCACAGCTACACCCAGGACCTTGTCACCCCTGGAAATGCTTCACCTCAGAAATCTTAAATCCCAACATGGCCTCCCCTGCCCACAGCCTCCTGCCTGAGCACCTCACTTCTCTCCCCGTCTCAGGACACCTGCTCTTTGACCCTGTTGAGACCTCTCACTTCTGGACCCCACCGCATTTTCTCTGCTCTGTCCATTTCCTTCTGACTTTCTTTTCCACTCAGTCTCGATATCCTGCTCCAGCCCTCCGGTCACTTGGCCCTCATCACCCTCAGCTCTCCCATGCCTCCCACAGTACCTGCCCTGCCCAACCCCCACGCTGAAGGGCCAGCCTCTGGGCATCTGCACTCCTCCGTCTGGGGTTCCCAAGGGCTAGGGGAGAAAATTATACAACAGATGGACTCGAACTCCTACCAGTTCATGGTCTCCAGCCTCAACTGGGCCCTTGACATGGCCCAGCAAGTTTTTCATAATGACCCATCCTTCCCCAGCCCCTGTTCCAAGCTCCTTCCCTGCTATTGTTACCCTGCCTTCCCAGGTCATCTGCTCAGCAGTTGACCTTGCCTCTAAATGATAATAAAATCAAGGCTCCTTTTCCTTCTGTACACTTCTCCTCAGGTGCCCTCCTGTCTCGGTGGGAGAGGTGTCCCTCCCCTCATCCAGTCCCTTCCTCCTGTGCTTTGGAATCCATTACCCGGGGATCCTCAAAAGCCCGCTCTCTCCGTGCTGTTTTCTCTCTCCTGTTCCTTCAGCCTCTCCTCCGCTGGCTCTTTCTTCCCAGTGGAAAGATTAGTGGAACCCGGCCCTGACACCCTGGGCCCGGTCTTCTCTCGCCCACCACCTTCCATGTTGCCAGAGCTAATGGCCACCTTACTGTGCTTCTTGGCAACATCTGGCTCTTGACAACTCTGTTCTCTGCTGAGCTTTTTTGCTGCCATTCCTGGCTTTGCCTTTGTCCCTCTAAGCGTCCTTTCTTCTACCTGCCCCTGAAGTAAAGGTCTCTCTCTTCCTTGAGCCGCTGTCCTTGGCCGTCTGTGCTTTCTAGTCTACAACCTCTTCCCAGCCAACCTCATTCACACCCATCACTTCAATTACCACATATGTATTGACGACTCCCAAATCAATACCTGTAGCCCAGGCCTCTCCCCTGAACCTCAGCTGTGCATTTCTATCTGCTGCTTTCTGGACTTTTCTACCTGTGTGCCTTGTAGCATCTCAAACTCACGTGTTCAGACCACATGGATTCCATCCCCTCCCCAACCTACTTTAACTCTTCCATTTCCTCCGTTGGAGAGTGGCACCATTTTCTGTTCAGCTACATAAGTCAGAAACCTCCGTGCAGTGTCCCTGCCCCACTTCCTCACACTTGCAGGTGCCAGGCGCTGTCTCCTTCACATGCCCGGCACTTCCATCTCTCTCTTCCCTCTGGGTCATGCTCTAGCCTCCTCTCCTGTGAATCCCTCCAGTAGGTGCCTGAGGGGTCTCCATCCATTCTCCCCCCGTGTGCCAGTGGGGATCCCTGGAAAATGCCAATCCGATCGTGTCCCTGCTTGACCGAACCCTCCAGGGCCTCTCAGCGCACATGGGCTACTGTCCACCTTTCTAGTTGTACCTTAACCGCCCTACTCCCTTCCCTCCCGAACTGCCTGGTTTCCTCGGTACATTGTCTGCCTTGTGCGTCCATGCCTTTGCTCTTGCTTGTTCCTCCGCCCGCCCGAAATGCCCTCTCCGTGACCTTGGCTAATTCTTCCTTGTAACTGAAGACAGCACGAACTACACCTCGCCTCCTCCAGGATGCCTTCCATGATCCCTTGCCTGACTTCGGTGCCTCCTCCTCTGTGTATTTCACTAATTCACTTGTCTCACTCCCCAACAAGACAGCTTACTGCTCTCCTAGTCATCCTTACGTCCCAGGAATCGCTACAGCCTGATTCTGTGGAAGCCCACCAAAGGCGTTGGCTGAATGACTAACAGATTGTCTCAGCAGAAGCCGGGGAAGGAGTCGTGCCTGGGCCAAGGAAGCCCGACGCGGAGATGGGGGGAGGCCCTTGGCCTCCCTGACAGAGGCCTCTCTCTGCAGGCGGTGGAGGAGCTTCTGGAGTCCTTGGACCTGGAGAAGAGCAGCTGCTGCATGGGCTTGAGCCGGGTGAGTGGTCGCTCAGGAGGCCAGTAGGGCCCAGCCCTCACTCTCTGGTCCCCTTATCCCAACAGCTGGCCCTCCCCTTCTGCAGCAAACTTGACTTCCCTCCCTCTGAATAACCACTCATTTGGTGCCTTGAACACCCCAGTGACGTTGGGAGGCGGAGTGGGTTGGAAGGTGGCCCTGAACTTGGCCTGAGTCCCGGTGTGGGGAGTAGGGAAGACAGAAGGGAGGAAAGCTGGACAAAGCAGGAAGGCAGCAGGCGGAGAGTTCCAGAGCCCCCGCCCCTTCCCCCCCACCCCCCTGGGCTGCCAGGGTCCCAGAAGAGCAAGCAGGACGCTGTGAGGCTGTGCTGCCACCACCTGCCCACAAGCCCAGTTCCTCACCTGAATGGAACGTGGTGTCTAAGACTCAGGCACGCCCGCGCCCGGGTGCCAGTCTGCCACATCACTCCACGCCAAAGGCCAGGCAAGCGTCCCTCCCACGGGCAGGAGTCCTGCTCACCTCTCGCTCCTCAGACTGGGAGGCCTGACGGGTGGCATCCACGTATGTGCTCCCAGGGCCGGGGCGGGGGGGGGGGGCGCTTGGGAGCCCGGGAGGGGGTTCCGAACCTCCTTACCTGTCAGCAGGGAGTGGGGGAGCCCAGGGTGCCTCATGGGGAGTGTGGCGGGGACACAGATGCTCGCAAAAAAGGCCTGGTGTCGCTTGTCCGCTCTGTTCTCTCGGTTCTGTCTTCTGAGTCTCAGTCCCGCCCCGTTGCTTTCCCATCTCCTGTCTGCATCTGTCTGCGCTGGTTTTCCCTTTTCCTTTTGGCCCTGGCAGCTCCCGGCTCTGTCATTTTCCGTTTTTTTCCTTGTTCTCTAGGTCTTCTGTGGGCTCGCTCTTTCTGTGTCATTTTTCTGGTTTTGGTCTCTTGCTGTGCCTGACTCCACTTCTCATCCCGGGCTTTCTGTCAGCGCGGGAGCTGCTGGCTGAGCTTCCTCCCTGGGAAGCCTGCAGACCCAGGCTGAAGCAAAGCCTCTCGGTGTCTTGGGCGGTCTCCTGCCCCCCTTCCCCCCGCCTGCAGGCTGGGCTGCTGCTGGCTGGCATGGGGGTGTCATCTCCTCCAGGGCATGTCTTGGGCAGGAGAGGGCCTGCATGGGCTGGTCCTCTTCCCAGCTACCCTCACAGCCCCACTGCTTCGTCCCAGGTGCCAGGCCGAGGTGGGCGAGCCCCAGGGCCCACTCACGCTCACAGAGACATTAGGGGCAAAGTGGGATGTTTGCTCACATCTGACTTGGGAGAGCAATTTCAGGGCCTCTAGGCTGTGGTCGGACCAGCTGGCGAGCTGGCGAGAGCTCGTCATATTGCTTCGGAGGACGGGGTCACAGTCTGAGCCCATGGGACCCTGAGGGTTCAGGCAGGGTGAGAGAGGATCCTGAGGGCCTCCTGGTATCATTTGTAAAATGTGTATGGATGTGTCTGTTGGGGAAGGACAGGGCCCTAAGCTTTCACCCAGTACTCAAAAGGATTCCTAACCCCGCTAAGGTAGAGCTGCATGACCAAGGCCTCAGGTTCCCCGCCCCAGCCCTGAGGCCATCTTTTCTCATCTCACCCTGAGGCAGTGAGAATGGGGGGCCACTCTCCAGCCCCTAACCCTCCGCCTCCTTTCTTCTGCATCAGTCAGACCAGCTATGTGCCCTGACCATGAGCCCCTATGTCCGCCTCCGGGCAGGACTTGGCTATTTCCCACCCCCGGTGGAATCTCAGGCTCACACATTGTGAGAAATCAAGGCTCAGGTAGGGCTTGAGGCCCGTGGGAGATCCTGGGCACCCAGCGCGAGGGCAGGGATTTGGGGAAGCAAGCGTTTGCTGACGCTGGCTTTCTCCTAGGCCAGCCCCAGGGGACTAGGTTTCTGTGGAGTCGCCAGAGGCAAACCTTTCTCAGCAGTGTAGGCCTTCTCTCCACTTCTCCCCTGAAGGGAGGCCTGGGGATACTGTACAGACTGGTTCTGAGTGTTTCCCGTGCTCTTTGACCCACAGAAGGGAATTTTCTGTGTTCTGGGCAAGGTGGAGGTGGGCACATGCCTAGGTGTCCTTTTGCCCTCTGTGAGTATCCCAGAGTCTTCGCTCACCTGTATATTTTTCCCCCTCTTCTTCTCTTAGCAGGGAACACTTTACCCAGCCCCAGTTCTGAGCACCAAAGAGGGAGAGGAAATGCTGGCTGTGGGGGCGCCCAGCTGGTTCCTCTCCTGTCTGCCCTCCAGCCCCCAAACCTGTAGGACAGGTCCCTTGATTGGGCCGGCCCCCACCCACCCCCCCTGGCGTTTTCATGAGCTGAAACCTGGGTGTGTGTGTGGGGGTGGGATGCTGGCACATGAAAGAGGAGGCTGTCTGAGAGGAGACCAAGTGGGGGGGCCCACCCTTTCTCTGCGCACAGCTTCTGGACCTTTCTCTCCTTACACACTTTCACCACCATCTACTTGGCCTGATCCCAGGCAGCTGGCACCTGCGGTTGGGCCCTTGAGTGGGCTCTGGGCACAGGGGGCACGGACATTGTTGCTGGCAGTCCTGGGGGGAGGAAACCTGGGGGAAGAGGATGTTGCTGAGGGCTATCCTGTCCCCATTTGACTGTAGCTGCTTTATTTCCTTCTTGCCCCAGATACAGATACCTTCCCTTTGCCCTCCCTCTCCTTTTATCTCTCTTTGAAGTTGGATTTCCCACCTTCCTCCTCCTCTTCCAGAAAAGTCTCCCCAGCCCCCGGCCTGGCCCTCTTCCCTTAGTCTTCCTGGGGCCTCTCCTTGTTCCTTCCCTCCTCTCTTGTTCCCTTGGATCTTCCGGTTCTTCCCTGGAGGCTGAGGGCCACCTCCCAGGCCTGCTGGTGTCCTGCGCCCCCAGCCCATCTCCTGCCTCTGTCTGGCCTGCTTCCCCACAGGTGTTCTTCCGGGCCGGCACATTGGCTCGGCTGGAGGAGCAGCGGGACGACCAAACCAGCAGGAACCTAACCCTGTTCCAGGCGGCCTGCAGGGGCTACCTGGCCCGCCAGCACTTCAAGAAGAAAAAGGTGCTGTTTCTGGGGTATCTCCATCCCACTCCCTGGCCTAGACAGCGAAGTGGAGTTCCTGGGGTGGGGGTGGGGGTTCAAGGGAAGGTGCTGGAGCAGAGGCTGGTCTTGGGACCACAAGTTATTGTCACCTGGGGGAGAAGAAGCAGGGCCCTCCTAGGGCCACCATGCCCAGGGCCAGGGTGGGGGATGGGCAGCTCCTTGGTGCCAGCAAGTGTGCTGATTCTACACGGCCCGGTCATGGGGCGGGGGTGGGGGGCAGTGGCTAGGCGAAGGTGGGCTCTGGCTCCTAGGCTGCTCCATGAAGATTAAGGAGCTGTGTCAGTGACTCCTTTTCTTATTAGCAAGTCCATAAAACAGCCAGCACCGCCGCCTCTTGTGTTTCAGCAAGATTAGGTTTTATAGCACATCGAGGCCAGGGTGCTGGAAATAATCAGGCAGCAAATAAAGCAGATGAAATTATTCCTAATGACGCCAGAGCGGTTAGTGCCCAGTGCGGTGCTCCCAGGGCCGAGCTCTCGGCCGCCCACTCTCTGAGGGCCGGGGAGAGGCTGGGAGTGGGGGTTGGGGGGCACAGGCAGTGTTCAAACTGGGGTTAAGGGGTCCAGAGGAGCAGCCCTGTGGCTGTGCTGGTGATAGGCAGGGGGAGGGGCGATCCTGGCTGGGCTTGGGACTGAGAGCTGTGTGTGCGCCACCGTCACCCCAACTTAGATCCAGGACCTGGCCATTCGCTGTGTGCAGAAGAACATTAAGAAGAACAAAGGGGTGAAGGACTGGGCCTGGTGGAAACTCTTTACCACCGTGCGGCCCCTCATCGAGGTACAGCTGTCCGAGGAACAGATCCGGAACAAAGACGTACGTAACGGCTCGGGCAGGGCCTACTCTTTGGAACAGGACTAGTTCACCCATGTGGGCAGAAAGTCTTGCCAGCTCGTCCTGGGCTCCCAAGTACTCTTTATTTAGTCCAGAGAGCCAATGTCCTTGAACAATGCCCGTCAAACAGAAGGCATCCCTCCGGAGCGCTGGCTAAGCCGCCGGGTAGCCTCTTGGTATAAAATCTCGGGCATCCTCAGCATCTGGGGAAGGGTCTAGGATCAGAGCCCCTGGGAGGCAGGGGCTCCCTATTCCCCGTGTCCTGGCTGGAACTTCACCAGCCTCATTTAGCCCCACAGTGCAGATTCCAGGCCCCAGCCTCTTACAGAGCCTCTGGCTCAGTCCGCCTTCTTCCCTACACCCAGGAAGAGATCCAGCAGCTGCGGAACAAGCTTGAGAAGGTGGAGAAGGAGCGCAATGAGCTTCGGCTCAACAATGACCGGCTGGAGACCCGGGTCAGTGACTCCCAGGGCCAGGCCTACTGGCCCACCCATGCAGGGTGCCAGGTCCAGGAGCCCCCCCCCATCCCCAGGGTTCTAGCTGAGTGAGGCAGGCATTTCAACTGGTGGCGACTCCCTCCCCCCCACCCCAGATCTCAGAGCTGACATCGGAGCTGACTGATGAACGTAACACGGGAGAGTCCGCCTCCCAGCTGCTGGACGCCGAGGCCGCAGAGAGGCTCCGAGCCGAGAAGGAGATGAAGGAGCTGCAGGTGAGGACAGGGCCAGGGTGGAGACCGCCGTGCTAGCTACCACCGCGCTCTGGCGTCCATCTGCTCCCCCCTGGGGACGGGTGGCCCGGCACCCCTATCCGCCCGGGGTAAGCACGTGCCCGTGGTCTGCATGGCTCGGGGTCTTGGCTGGGCCTGGGTGAGGGGCTGAGCTGGCAGCCTCACAGGCCTCCCTTCCGCAGACCCAGTACGATGCGCTGAAGAAGCAGATGGAGGTGATGGAGATGGAGGTGATGGAGGCCCGCCTCATCCGGGCAGCAGAGATCAACGGGGAGGTGGACGATGATGATACGGGTGGGTCTGAGGCCCAGGAGCTCAGGGGGGCCTGAATGGCAAGCTCGGATACCACCCCCAACCCCCACCCCCAGGCAGCCCCGGCCCCGGCCTGTCTCCCTCCTGGAGCTGGGCCAAGGCTACAGTAATCGACAAGAGAGTTGAGGTGCCAGGAAACGCAAGGGATTATCGTGGAGGTCTGTGAGAGCCATGATAAGGACAGGGTCCGAGGGCCATGGTCTGCGGGTCCCTGGGAGAGACAGCCACACACCCTCTCTAGTCTTTCCCCGGCTTGGGGGGAAGCCATCATTCCAGAGACCTTCCTGAGTCCCTCTGGCTAATGCCACCTGCTGCCCCTCCCCGTCCCATCCTTCTCCCCCTCCACCCCTTGTCCGGGACTCTCAGCACCCCAGTCCTCCCTTGTCGGCCCCACCCCCACAGGCGGCGAGTGGCGCCTGAAGTACGAGCGAGCCGTTCGGGAGGTGGACTTCACCAAGAAGCGGCTCCAGCAGGAGTTCGAGGACAAGCTGGAGGTGGAGCAGCAGAACAAGAGGCAGCTGGAGAGGCGGGTGAGGCTGGTGGTAGGATTGGAGGCCGTGGGCCCTGGAGGGGCGTGGTGCCCTGGGAACACTGGGGAGGGGTTGGCGGGTTAGCCTCTCAGGCTGCAGACGCCCAAGGGCAAATCGACTCCATCCCTCATCCCTGGATCTCTCCCTTGCTCGCCCCCCTCCTTCTCCTCCCCTTCTCCACTTCCGGGCCTCTCCCCGGTTGCTGACCCCGCACCCCGTCCGCACCCTAGCTCGGGGACCTGCAGGCAGACAGCGACGAGAGCCAGCGGGCCCTGCAGCAACTGAAGAAGAAGTGCCAACGGCTGACAGCTGAGCTGCAGGACACCAAGCTGCACCTGGAGGGCCAGCAGGTCCGCAACCACGAGCTGGAGAAGAAGCAGAGGAGGTGGGTGGGTCTCCTGCCCTGACACACACGAGACTTCCTGGGGGCCTCCCCATCCAGGGAAGGGAGAAGGAAGGAGGGCTTGAATTTGGCCGCATGGTCCCTTGGCCTAGAATGGGAACAGGCCTCTCTGACCTCCGAGGAGCCCTCAGGCCCTGTCCCCACTGAAGGCCTGTTCAGGCCTTGGCTCTCGGACCCGCTCCCTGCAGCGTGTGCCCGTCACCCTGCCTGGGCCCAGCAAGGACGAAGCTCCCACCAGGCCCCGTGCAGAAAGCATCTTCGCCCCTCCCTGGCCCTTGCCCCCACCCAGCTCCCCACGTCTCACTCGCCTCAGCCACACAGACGCACTCTCCTGACTAATGTTGTTGAACTACCGTGCCACTTCCATCTCATTATGGTAATGACACAAAGGAGGGGGGCAGCCCTCACAGGATCAGATCCAATCTAAATTAATTTCCCTGGCTGGGGATGGGAATGGGACGCCTTTATTAGCTACACCGGGGGACCCACACACCCTGGGAACAGCAGGGGGGCCCAGGGAGTGGGAAGAGCGCCTGGTTGCCCTCTGCAGGGGAGGGCTTCTCAGCAGAGGCCCCCGGTGCCTTTGTGAAGGGACAGCCCCACACCCACGACCCTGGGGGTGAGCAGGGCAGAGCTGAGTCCTTCCTGTGACCCTGAGTTACCCTCAGCTTCCTGGGCACTCTGCTGTCCTCCCAGCTGGGTCCCGCCAACGGTGAGAGGAGCTGGGAGATCTTATTCCTCCCTCCCAGCACTGTGCCTCTCTGCCTTTACCCACCCCCCCATTCACTAGAGGCGGTTCACCCTTAGTGGGACCCCTTCTCCCAAACACCCCCGCCATGGCAGTGCCAGCCTGGCCTAGTTACCAACTCGCCGCACTCCCTGCTGGGCAACTTATTAGGTTTCATTTGAGCTGCCCGGAATTTGCTTACCCTTTTTTTTTGATGTGGGGTTGGGTTGGGAGGGAGTCTTTCAGTATTTTCGAAGCGAACCTTATTAGCTATTCGGGGAAGGTGTTAAGAGGAATTTCAGCAATTTGCTCCTTATTTAGAGTCACTGGGCGGGGAAATAGGAGGCTGGGAGGTAGAGGAGCCAAGAAAGGGGCCAGCACCTGCAGGCTGGGCATGGTGGGACAGCTGGCTTCCATTGGCAGGGGATGGGGTCCTGGGGGGGACATGGGTACTGCTGGGCCACATGGCCCTGGCCAGGGGCTGGCACTGAGAGGTGGGGGCTGGAGCCAACTGCCACTCTAGAGTGGCCAAATGGAACCACGGAAAGTGAGTTAGATGAGGCAACGGCGTCCCTTTCTACATATCTCTGAGCCCACTCTGCCCTCACCCTGGTCCCACATTCTTTGATCTGTGGAAACAGAAAAAAGTTAAGACAACAACGGAGAGCCTGTCCCCCTCTTCCCTGGAGCAGCCTGTCCACTGCTTCCCCAGAAGCAGTCTGTGGGCCCCTCCTCAGCTCACCTAGTATAAGGGCTCTTTAGACCACCTCAGTGAAATGCTCCCCATCCCAGAGCAGGCGGCCAGTTGGGCCTTGATGGCCTGTGAGCCTGGGTACCACCTCACCGCTGCCTCCCACTTCTGGGCTGTGTAAGGAGTCCCCCTCTGCTTGCACCCTGTCTGCATCCGTGGCCCTGCTTCCTGGCAGCCTCTGGGTGATGGAGACCCAGACTCTTCCCTGCCCTGGCAGGGTCACCTTGGCCGTCCCTGCTTCCTCACAGGTTCGACAGCGAGCTCTCGCAGGCTCATGAAGAGGCCCAGCGGGAGAAACTGCAGCGGGAGAAGCTGCAGCGGGAGAAGGACACGCTCCTCGCCGAGGCTTTCAGCCTGAAGCAGCAACTGGAGGTGCGTGGGCCACCCACCGTCCGTCCCCCGTCCCCACTCCCACCCCCAGACAAGAGCTGGTCCCAGGCCAGCCTCATCTTCTCTTTCGTTCCAGGAAAAAGACATGGACATCGCCGGATTCACCCAGAAGGTGGTCTCCCTGGAGGCCGAACTCCAGGACATTTCTTCCCAAGAGTCTAAAGATGAAGCCTCTCTGGCCAAGGTCAAGAAACAGCTCCGGGACCTGGAGGCCAAGGTCAAGGATCAGGAAGAGGAGCTGGATGAGCAGGCGGGGACCATCCAGATGCTGGAGCAGGTGCCGCATAGTCTGCCCAAGGGGGGCCCCACCATTCCCACAGCTAACCCAGGGGGTAGCTGGGGTGGAGGGGGTGGCAGGGGAGGGCAAGTTCCCACGTGCCGTCAGTCCTTCGTTCCCTTACTCACAAAGTACTGAGGGAGCACCTGATCTTTGCCAGACACAGTATGAAAATAATTAAGCTTTCGTCCTGCTTTGAATAATCTTGATTGAGCTTTAGTATTGAGGGGTTCAGGATGCCCGGCAGCCAGAAGGCCACGTGCCCACCCGGCCTGCCACTGAGCCACCGTGTCAGTTCAGAGAGCTAGAGCCTGATGGCCAGATGGAAAAGCTGCCCAACTGTCCCCATGTCTGGCAGCCTGCTCTGGGCCAGCGTCAGACATCTAGTAAGGGGATTTGGCTTCTCTGGGGAAGCCGGCTGCCCCAGGAGCAAGGTGGGAGCTCCGGGAAGTGCTGGCAGAGAAACTCCCTGCCCCTGAGCCCAGGGAGAGCCATCCTGCAGGGGGTAGGGGGCTGCTCAGAAAGGAACCCGGTCCCTCCCCTCCCCGCCCCCACTCCCTCCCCTGCAATCACCTCCAGGCCAAGCTACGTCTAGAGATGGAGATGGAGCGGATGAGACAGACCCATTCCAAGGAGGTGGAAAGTCGGGATGAGGAAGTAGAGGAGGCCCGGCAGTCATGTCAGAAGAAGGTAAGGGAGCGGGCACTCAGCATGTCCAGGACGAACCCTGCCTCTCCCATCACTGCTTTAAAGTAAGGGGCTTTCTGGTTCCCTCCCTGAGCCACACTATCATCCATTGCCATTCTGGACCTGAGATCCTGGCCTTGGCTGGGATGTGTGCCCTCAGGGACTATGGAGAAAGCTTGGTCCTTTGAGGGACGCACGCTCCCTGCTTTCTGGGCACTCAGCGATGCTGGCCTGGCCTGCCCACTCTAGAATGAAGCCTTCCACTCTGCGTGGGGCTGCGGTGCACGGCCTGCCATCCCTCCTCCCTCTCCCAGGCTGCTTTGAAACCCTGGGAACTTTGAATTCGGGGTCTGACCCCTCTGGGATCTGCTCAGCCTCCCCCACAGTTTTCCCAGTTTCCCCAGTGATAGGGGGAGGAGGGGGAGGGATCCAGAAGGGAAGGGGCCCGGCTGGCACCGGACACTGAAGGGACTGCCGGGCCTCTGTCCCCACGGCCCTCCAGTTGAAGCAAATGGAAGTGCAGCTTGAGGAGGAGTACGAGGATAAGCAGAAGGTGCTGCGAGAGAAGCGAGAACTGGAGAGCAAGCTCACCACGCTGAGTGACCAGGTGAGCGGAGCCTGCTGGCTGGGCGCGGCCTCAGTGAGGTGACTTTCAGGGATACATAGCTGGGCAGGGGGCGGGAGTGGGGGGCAGGCTCTGTGGAGCCCACTGTCAGCACATGGAGAATGGGGTGGTTACCACGCAGAGCCCACCCTGGCTTCTCTCACCGGCTAGCCTGAGCCCGGCACGTCCTCCATTGTTGCGTGTTCGGGGGGCTCTAGAATAAGGGCAGGCGTGAAGATTGTGCGTGGGGGAGACAGGAAGAGGCTCTGTGGGGGAGGCCAGAGCCCCAGCTCCTGCTGTGCGCCCAGGTGAGCCAGAGGGACCTGGAGTCCGAGAAGCGGCTCCGGAAGGACCTGAAGCGCACCAAGGCCCTGCTGGCGGATGCCCAGATCATGCTGGACCACCTGAAGAACAACGCCCCAAGCAAGAGGGAGATCGCCCAGCTGAAGAACCAGGTGTCTGGACAGAGAGGGGGTGGTCAGCTCCAAGGGGCAATAGCACGCCTATGATTTTAGTTCTTTCTCTCCCTCCCTTCCCCTGCCAGGGATTCTTGAGTCCTTGAGAAGGAAGGTAATGGGAGGGGGAGAAGCCACTCATAGCTGTAGACTCCTAGGATCTGTGTGTACCAGATAGCATGACCGCCAAGCCCCAGGATGGCGTGAATGGGTCCCCACACCTGCCATCCCTGCCCTGGGAGACACCCGTGCGAGCTGGCCCAACAGGCCAGGGCTGGGCTCCTTCTCCCCTGCAAGCCCCCCCGCCAACCCTGTCCAGCCCTCCTGCCCCTGAGGCCTGGCTGAAATCTCTCCCTGGGGTGGGGATGGCCCTGTGTCCAGCTGGAGGAGTCCGAGTTCACCTGCGCCGCAGCCGTGAAAGCGAGGAAGGCCATGGAGGTGGAGATCGAAGACCTGCACCTGCAGATTGATGACATCGCCAAAGCCAAGACGGCGGTGAGGAGCAGGGGGTGTGGGCTGGGCTGGGGGCAGGGGTGGCTGAGGGAGAGTTGAGTGGGGACAGACGGGGGCCCTTCCCCTGCCCGATTCCTTGACGCCAGGGCTTTCTGCAGGGAGAGCGGGCCTCCCCTCCTTTGCCTCTCCCCACTCAGAGCACAGGCCCAGGAGGGGGGGTGAGGTGGAAGAGGGAGCCAGCAAGGGCCCATCTCCATGTTTAACCACCTGCCTGTGGGAGCTTGGCCACAGGCCCCGACACCATAAATAAAGGCAGCTAATGTGGCTAAGGGATGTAAACAGGTGCCTGGAGATCAGCCGAAGCACCGATAAGAGGATGGGATGGCTCTGGTTCCCTCCCCTTCCCCTGGCCAACCCCCTGACAAGCCCAAGCGGCAGCTAATTAGAGCTCTTATTTAATGCTTCCCTTTTAATTCCCTACCTCTCCTACGGCCCATCCGTTGGCCGGGAATGCATTACCGGGATACGGGCACCAGTACCTCCTTGGGCAGGGAATGGGGCAGCGGGGAGGCTGGGCTTGGCTCTGGGCTCCACAGACCCCCCCCATCTGGTCACCCGTCTGTTGAGGGATGCCAGTCTCCCGGGCTTGATTTATCTCTGTGACATTTGTGCTCCTCAGCAGTTTTCAGGTGAGTAATTCAAATTCTTTAATTGTGTTAAAAAAGGGCTGTTATAAAATTACCATTTTATTTAAATCTGAGTTAATAAATTTCTTGGCGGAGGCTTCCCCAGCTCCCCGCAGCCCGGTAACAAGATGGATGGGGCCGAGAAGGAGCCAACGCAGTCATTTTGGTTTGGAATTACAGGCTAATAGATTCATTCATTTCCTGAAGCTGCTGTTGGCTGTCTGCTTCCCTCCCCCCAGGAGTGGACTGACTGTGGGGCTGGAGGGCCCCGGAGCAGGCCATCCCAGGGGAGATGAGAATCCAAGCCAAGGGACCCTCGCACATTCGAGGGGTCCTTCCCTGAGGCCTGCAGGGGGCAGAGTGCGTGCAGGTTAGGGCACGGACTGCTAGGGCCAGGATGATGGGTCGTTTGTTCTGTGCAGACCTTTTCTGCCTTCTCATTAGCCTTCAGGAGCTGCCAGGAAGCAGCTGTCATTTAGCCCAGGGTCCGCCTGTGCCGCGAAGACAGCCTTTCGTCTGCTCCCTGAGCACCCCTGGGTCTGGACCCTGCCCCCCTGGCCGGCCCGGCCGCATCGTCACCCCCGCCCCATTGGAGACAGCGTGGGGAAGCTCAGACTTTCCACCAGGCGCCATTAGGCGCTGAGGCCCGATGCCCTCTGATCGGTCTTGCCTCCTTCCAGCTGGAGGAGCAGCTGAGCCGCCTTCAGCGTGAGAAGAATGAGATCCAGAGCCGGCTGGAGGAGGACCAGGAGGACCTGAACGAGCTAATGAAGAAGCACAAGGCAGCCGTGGCTCAGGTGCCCCACCACGCCCCTGCCCACAGACGCCGTCCCCGTGGTCCTCTTCCAAGGGCCCCACACGCCTCTTGTCTTGGGAGTGGGCCCCAGCCCTGTACCTGGCGTGTGGCGAACTGGGGTTTGTGTCCCCAGGGCAGCCCACATCAATGCTCACTCCTTTTTCCCAGGCCTCGCGGGACTTAGCGCAGATGAACGATCTCCAGGCCCAGCTAGAAGAAGCCAACAAGGAGAAGCAGGAGCTGCAGGAGAAGGTGGGGACTAGGGTCTCCCTTGGTAGAAAGAGGGTGCAGGGTGGCTGTATGTGCGGACAAGCCCCCAAGCTCACAGTATAACAGACGCTCCTCCTGCTCATCAGGAATCCACGGAGCAGTGTCTATGCGTGTGGAGGCCTAGGCCGGGAGCCATAACACCGTAGTAGACATTTTGGCTTCAGCTGCCTTACTTCACATCTCTATTCCCTCTCCGGTCCTTGGCTTTTCCCTTTCTCTCCAAAGAGCAAAATCTGTCAGCATTGGGCCAGGTGGGGCATGCCTCTGGCTCAGGGCCCCATCCTTCCCCGTCCCCTGGGTACCCATCCCTCCCTCCCTCAGCCTTCTGGTCACCATGGTGATCGTGCTGGGTCCAGACTCTGCGCCCTCCCTTCAGGGCTCAGTTCCTGCTTCTCTTCCTGCCCCTGCCCCCAGCTCCAAGCCCTCCAGAGCCAAGTGGAGTTCCTAGAACAATCCATGGTGGACAAGTCCCTGGTGAGCAGGCAGGAAGCTAAGATCCGAGAGCTGGAGACCCGCCTGGAGTTCGAGAGGACCCAAGTGAAGAGGCTGGAGGTGGGTGCACCCCCATCCTGGCCCACGGCCCAGAGCAGGGCCGGGCGGCCTCGGCGGCTGGAGCCACGCATGCTCAGCAGCCCTGGGCAGGCCACGGCTGCTCCTCGGAGGCCCCTGCCAGGCTGCCAGGCCAGCTGACGGGGCGGGTGTCTGCCCCCCACCCTCCCACCCGCCCGCCGCCTGCCCCTCCTGCTCTCTGGGCACCGCGGAACCAGCCTGCTTTACATTCTGTTTCCGTGCTTGCTTTCTGCCAAGGGACCAGAGCAGCTTAGCTTTTTGTCTTCATATTTTCCTCCACCATGAGCTCCCCCCGCCGGTCCCCTCACTCGCTCTCCGCTCTCCGGCAGGGTCATAAATATGCAGTGGATGCCGCCACTTCTGTGAGGGCTGAAGTCTGTTCTCTCATCTCACCGCGCACACACTCTCTCTCCCTTCCCATTTTTATTGCCTTTTTCCCTCAGTTCTTCCCACCCTTCCTGTCTCTGCTTTTTCTCCTCTCTCTTTGCTTGTCTCCATGTCTGCCCCCTTCTTTCCCGTCCCTTTGTATGTCTTCTCACCCACTCCTCGCTCCTTCCTTTCTCCCTGTCCCCTCCCTCCCCTCCCTCTGCTCCTCATTCTTGCCTTCGACCCTTCTCCCGTTCCTGCTCGCCCCTCTTCTGCTCTGTCTCGCTCTTCCTTTTCACGGGCAATCTCTGTGCTCCACATGCAGTCCTCTAGCTTCCAGGCCCCTGAAACCAGCCCGCCCAGCCCCGCCCTCTCCGGTAGAGCAGGTAGGAAGCACAAGGCAGGCAGAATTGTCTCCAGTGAATGCTTCTCTCGCCCTGTTTTTAAGTTCTCCTCCCACTCGAGCTTGTACGCGTGTCTAAGCACCGGCAGCTCTCCGTGAGAACTGTGTTCATGGGTGTGCGCGCTGAGGAGTGTCCCTGCCTCCTCCCCAGCAGCCCCTGGGGCCGTGGAGCAGGCACGAGGGTAGGGATGGGAAGAGGCGACCATGGGGCTGGCAGTGGGCATTGAGAGGGCATTCATCCCCTTGACGTGGGAAGAGAATACGGCAGAACCTCCCAAGACAAAGTCCCAGTCCTCAGGAGAGCCAGGGAGAGTTGGGAGGCTTAGTCATGTTCCTGTTCTGCCCACCACAACCCGGAATGATCAGTAATCTATATTTCCATCCCCATTTTGCATGCAGGAAGGGGTAAGGAGTTTGCCTTTGGTCACAGAGCTGTCGAGGGGCTGAAGAAGCCATTGGTCTGGTGGCTCTGGGGCAGATCTGTGCACTTGTCTCCTTTTCTTTTGGGCCTCAGACCCTTTCCTCAGCCCTGTCTCTGTATCCCTTCTGCCCGGAAAGGCAGTATTGTCCCTGAGACACACAGGATCTTAAATACAAATGGCCCTTAGAGATGGCATAGTCTAGTGCCATTATCTTAGCGACACAGAGGCTGGGGGGCCCCGAGGTAGAGATCCCACAGCCAGTCGGTGGTCAAACCCAAAGCAGGTCCTTCCCTCACACCCTACCCCAGCCTCTAGGTCATTTTTTTGCCTACGACCTGGTAAGGAAAAATGTATTCCATGTTTCTGGAAGAAGAGGGATGGCTGTGTGCTTAGAATCTGATGACTCTTTAGTCTCCTAATCCAGGAACTCTCAGCGAACCATTTACCTCCAAGTAAGAGATGTAGCTTCCAGAGCTGCTGGGTTCAGGGTCTCTGAGGGAAGTGGGGCTGACAGTGGAGGCCCCAAACTTGGCGTCAGGATGGGTAGGCCCAGGCTCTAGCCAGGGCACTGCTCCAGCCATGGGAGTAACAATGATGATGGTGATGGTGACCGTGATGGCACCTTTCATCGTCCCAGTCACCTTCACGTACCTGACCTTATTCAGTCTTTAAAAGACCCTGAGGGATGGGCTCCTGAGTGGCTCAGTCGGTTAAGCATCTGCCTTTGGCTCAGGTCATGATCCTGGGGTCCTGGGATCGGGCCCTGTGTGGGGCTCTGCTCAGCAGGGAGTATGCTTCTCTCTCTCTCTAACCCCCTCTGCCCCTCCCCCCACTGCTTGTTTTCTCTCTCTCTCAAATGAATAAATAAAACCTTACAAAAAAAAAAAAAAAAAGGCCCTGAGGAAGTAGTTGTTATCCTCCCATTTTACAGAAAGGCAAAGGAAGCCTCTTCAGAGGGCTTTAGTTCCTGCCCACCTACCGGTGAGTGGTGGTGCCAGAGCCGGATTCCAGTCCTCTGGACTCTGGAGCTCAGAGCCAGAGCCACTAGCTGATGTGTCCCGGCCTAGCTGATGGGCCTGTCTTCCCCGCCTCCCTGTCTAGAGCCTGGCCAGCCGGCTCAAGGAGAACATGGAGAAGCTGACGGAGGAGCGTGACCAGCGCACTGCCGCTGAGAACCGGGAAAAGGAGCAGAATAAGAGACTCCAGCGGCAGCTCCGGGACACCAAGGAGGAGATGGGCGAGCTCGCCAGGAAGGAGGCTGAGGCAAGCCGCAAGAAGCACGAACTGGTAATGCACCCCACCCACAGGGCCCTAAGCGCAAGGCTGGCTGAGTGGCTATATGCACACACATCCCCCCAGGCGGGTGGGGGTGGGCCATAAAGAAACCGGAGTTGAGATCATTGGGAGGAGGAGGAACATGTCAAGGAGACAGTCCAGGAAGTCCCAAAGGCAGGCTAGGGAGCCAAGGGTGGGGTACCCCAGTGTCCGTCAGGCGAACCCAGTCTGCGGAGCTCATGCCTAGCTAGGAGAGACTTAAAGCGGGCTTTTTCTGGAGCACCTGGATGAGAGACTAGCCCTCCCGGTGAACTGGACTGCCCACTCTGCCTCTTAGGAGATGGATCTGGAGAGCCTAGAGGCGGCTAACCAGAGCCTGCAGGCCGATCTAAAACTGGCATTCAAGCGCATTGGGGACCTACAGGCCGCCATCGAAGATGAGATGGAGAGCGACGAGAATGAGGACCTCATCACCAGGTGAGGGGGCCTCTGTGGCAGCAGCAGCGGCCCGCCCCAAGGCCCTCTGACCACCTCTGGATCAGGCCACAAGGTAGAACAGCTGCCACCTCTGTCTCCCTATCACTGAGTCACCAGCCCACCTTCCCCGCATCGCCAGACCCCAGCACGGACCCCATCCTGTAGCGACTGAAGGCAGGACGGGTGCCACCTGGGTGAGACATCCGCCCTCTCCCCGCCCCCCCCGCCACACCCCGTGCTCCCTCCCCGGGCCTCCCGGGAACCTGGCTCCCGTTCTCTGCCTGTCCTCGATGAGTTATTCCCCCGTTTAGCTGCATTTCCGATGGTGCCTGCCCCACTCTGGAGAGAGCAGAGATTTAAGGCCTGTGGTGCCTTGTTACCGTGCCAGAGATTTTCTCTCATAAAACCCACCCAGGGAATGGTTCAGGAGCGAGAGAGAGAGAGAGATTTGTAGTCAGGCTGACGAAGAAGCACAAGGCAGGTAGAACCAGCTCTGCAGGGTGGGGGTCAGGCCCTGGAGAAGCTCCCAAGGCTGCCTTTGGGCAGAACCCTGGCCCCCAGACCTGCCCCCTTCCCTGGTGAGCGCTGGTGCCCGGTCCTGCAGGCAGAGGGAGCCTGCTCCTTTCCACAGCAGGAGAACGGTGCCCCAGGGCAACCTAGACCTCCTTCTGAGGACAGCAGCGAGTGAGCACTGTCACTCACCCCGCCCCCCAACTGGTCTCCACCAGTCAGAGGCATCTCTTGCTGAAGAAAAAGGGGTCATCAGTGGAGAGGTCCACCTTGGTTTGCTCCCTTGTGATCTCCCTTGCCCACCATTTTCTTTCTGTTTCCAGTTTGCAGGACATGGTGACAAAGTATCAGAAAAGAAAGAATAAACCGTGAGGACTGGAGCGCACGCGCTCTCTGCCTCTCCCGTGGTGTCTAACCGCCCCTAACACTGGCTCCCCACCCAGGGCCCCTGCTGCATGCCGCACGTGGACACAGCCTCTCACACCTCCTCCAAGCTGGCCTCACGCTAACACTGCTGACTCTGTCCTGAGGCGAGGCGAGGCGAGGCGAGGCGAGGGGCCGGACCTGCCTTGGGGGTAGAGGACAGGCCACGAGGCAAACTCCCCCAGGAAGGTTTACAGCCTGGATGGGCAGGATGGGGGGCTCCCACAGAAAAGAGTGTTCAGCCTCAGTCTGCCTTCCTGAGCTCCGGCCTTCTCCTCCTCCAGAAAGCAGGTGTAGCTGCCTCCCCGGCCTATTTCACTGAGTGAAAATCTGATTGGGCTGGACTGGTCCACACCCTGGGGCTCCTTTGGAGCCTGTTCCACCCCCAAAAAAAGTGGGTAGGTTTCATTTTGGAAGGGCCCACCACCTCCCTGTGGCAGACAAGGGTACGAGGTGTGGGGCGACGTCTAGCAGTTTCTTATTTGGAGAAGGCATCCAGCCAGCTCCTCACGGGCTGCTTCCCCATGGCAAGAGAAGGGAACCCAGCCAGATGTGTTCACCTTGCTCCCTGCAGGCACCTTGGGCAGAGGAGGGTCCCCCCACCCCCAGGCGTTTGCGATGGTGCTTCCTGTCAGGTGATGGGAACCCCAGGAGATCCGCCCTCACCCTCCGATTCCTGCTTTCTGAGTGGTAGCGGGATGGTGGGAGCAGACGCGCGGGCCTTGAGGCCGATCAGAGTGATCCTCTGTCAAATTCATCAGGGCTGTTTGTTCGGAGGTGGTTTTTTTTTTTTTTTTTTTTTTTTACCGTGGCATTGGCTTTCCTCCCCTGACTCTCTCTTGCCTGGCAGGCCTCCTCCCCTGGCCGGGATGTGCTGGCGGCGGCGCCCAGGAGTCCGTGAGCGCTAATGATAAATGTAATAGTGTGTAACAGTGATAGAGGGCCGCTGGAGCCCGGTTGTCACACACAATTAATATCCCCCGCCATCCTGTCTCCGTTTGTTTGTTCCCCCGCGATTTGGCTCCCAGTTAACTAATAGCACATGAGCCTGGACATAAATTGTATTTGACTCGGGGTTTAATTCCGACCATTTAAAATTTCAACTGCCCCCTGAGCCCGCCTGCCCCTGGAGTTTGTTCACGGGCCTGATTATTTAAGGAAAAGAGCCTAAACATCATCTATAGGCTTGACACTAAAGGGAAGGTGAGGGCAGGCCGGGCGGCGTCTCCACCCATTTGCTGCTCTGAAGGGAAGGAGGAGAATTTGTATTCTGGGTCCATGGCTGCCTGTCCCCTGTGTGTTCCAGTCCTGCCATCCTTGGGCTGGAGGAGCTTCGAGGGCTGATAAAATGCGCATTTAAGATCATCTTCTAAACCATTGCCAGGCAGGGGCACACATGCACACACCCGGTGTGCACTCACGCAGGCGCGCTGGGGCGTGCAGGCCTCGCCACGGTCCCACTGCTGGCCGAGGTGGTGTGGCTCAGTGCTCAGCTGCTCTGGGCCCCAGCGCCAAGTTATCGAGCGAGCGAGTAAAGCGGGCAGAAAAATAATGTTTCGATTTACTTAGAGATACAGTTGTTATTGCCATAACCTTAATGAAAGCAGTAAACAGTGCAGTATTAAGGGAGATTTATACAGAAACACTTTTAACATGTAGACATAGATTTTGCGATGCACACAGAACCTCCTTTCTAAAGGCAATCAATATGGTTATAAACAGTGGTGATAAATTACGGGTTCTGAAGCCGGAGAAGGAGGTTTTTTTGCGTGGGTGTATAAATCAGGTGGTGCTGGTGTTCCGTGGGGCCTGTGCACCATAGTAAATCTGCTGGGCTCGGACAGGCACGGGGCTTGCATTAGTGGTTTCAGGGCTGTCTGCTAAACTCCTGTTTACCCGGGGTATCAGCCAGCCTCATCTTTGTTATAATTCTGTTTTTGATGGAAGGCCATAAAATATGACTCTTTGTTCCCCTCCCAATGGGTCATGCTCTCTCACAGTCTCCAGAATGGAGTCTGGCAGTTTCCTCTGTGTGTGTGTGTGTGTGTGTGTGTGTGAGAGAGAGAGAGACAGAGAACACACTTGCGTGCACAAACACGTACGCGTGCCTGTGTGGCTGTTTATTCAAGAACATAATTCAGGAATGGGGCTGCTCCTGTTGACACAGATGAAAGGAAATTTATATCAAGGAGAAATCCTTAGCATCTCCATAGCAGGGGAATGTGGGAGCAGACATTTTGCAGAATTCTAGAACATTATCAGAAGCCGTCCTAAGCCCCCGCTGCTTTGTAAAGGAGTTGCCGTGACTCCAGCCTCCAATTCTCACTCCTTTGGGCTTTTCTGCCAGTAGAGAGGGCTCAGGCTGGCTTGGGGAGATGCACAACTGGGAAGCGAGAGCAGGAGGCTGCCTGAGGGAGGGAGGAGGAGACTTGGATAAACAGACCCATTGTCTGGGACTATCTGAGGGCTCAGGTGGATCTCCAGGACACAGTTTGAATCCCAGAGCTGTTGCCAGCACCTCGGGAAATGGCGGATGCGCCCTCCTCATCCCTGTCTGTTTCCTAAGGGTCAGGGACGTCACAGGGTGGGTCTGAGATCTGGACCTTCCCGCTCAGGTGCGTCACCATCAGCCGAGCCTGGAGGTGTCCAGTTCAAGCTAACCTGAAGGCATAATGATGCCTTTCTCTTCCCCACCCGTGGCCTGCAATCTGGCTCTCACGGTGAAGGCGTGGGAAATGGCCGCAGCTGTGGCCACATTTCTGGGAGGGGGCAGACAAGAAACAGAATAGGCCTCAGTGAGTAGCTACAGGGCCTCGGACTCATCTTTTTAACCAGTGGCCGTTTAGCTGGAACTCATAAATGGACAGTTTCCCTGTCATCCTCACTGGAAGTGTTTGGCTCAATAGCATTCTGTCTCCACAAGTAGAATGGGAGGTCCTCCATGCTCCTCAGGGTCCTCTTGGTGGCTGTCCTGAGTGTGGCCTGCTGAGCGGGGCAGGGTCCTCGTGAATGGGGCTCCCCATCTAACCTCCCCGTTCTGCTCCCTGACTCACTGATGTGCATGCCCCCCTACCCCGGGCCGACCCGGGGCCCCATCAGCGCTCCCCACTGGGCCGCGGCTTAGCCCTTCCCAGTCTCTCCTACCTTTCTGCTCCTCATCCCACAGTGAGGGGGACTCAGATGTGGACTCGGAGCTGGAGGACCGCGTCGACGGGGTCAAGTCGTGGTTGTCGAAAAACAAGGGGCCTTCCAAGGCAGCTTCTGATGATGGCAGCTTGAAGAGTTCCAGGTGAATACATGGCCTTGAGCTGGGAGGGAAGAGCCACCTCCTAAGCCAAGGATAAAGGAGCAGTGCCTCGGTCCCGGAGGGGCCAGGCCTCTGGTACCGGCCTCTCTTGCCCAGCACATGTACACGGGGCTCGGGGTCTCTGCACCCTTGTGTTTCCTAGGTAACGGTTTCCTACCAGGCTCAGGCCTTTGGTTTGCTGTAGGTTTGACTTAATCCCCATTTATTCATTCAACAAATAGTGGTTGAACCACCAGAAAGTTTGGGCCCCAGAATCAAGATGGGAATGGGGCATAAGGAGTGTCTGGACCCCATGACCCTCAACAGGACTGTCTCAGGCCAGCTCTGGATCTCTGAAATCTTAACAGGACTAGCAGCAGAAAAGGCACCAGTTCCCCTGACTTGCTTATCACAGCCACATTTCTCTTCCTGTCCCCATTCTCTCCTTCCTCTGATCTTTTCACCATGTCCCCTCCCCACCTCGCCCCCATGCTTCCTGCTCACACCAGTCCACTGGAGGAACGCCTTCCCATCTTGTCCAGCCAAGTCAGTCTTCTGATCACACAGACAGCTCCCCCTGGAATCCAGCTCCCCAGTCCCCATCCCTCACTTCCCAGCCAGCATGGCAGCAGGAAGGGTAATCCTCTGTCCCCTGTGCCAGTGCCTCCTGCTGGTTCCCCTGCCTCACAGTTTCTCCCCAACTCAGAGCCATCCTGATCCCCACCCCCTTCCCAGAGTCAGCAGGCAGGCTGGGTTGACAAGTAATCCCGCCCCCCTCCTCCCACTCCCCTGAGGCCCCTTCCCAAGTCCAGCCCCTCACTACCAGCACCCAGCGGCCCCCTCTAATTGGTTTAATTTATTCAGCCAAACAACATTTCGTTGTGGCAGATAATGCCGCCTTCCCCGCCCCACTGCCGTTCACCACTGCGCGGCACAAGGCTCCAGGTAGTTGACAATGAAATAAATTGAACTAAACGTTTTAGAGGGGGAAAAGTGATGAAATAGAACAATGGTCTAATTTACATGACATTCTCCATGAAGCTATTTTCACTGACGCAAATTATTTTGCTTCATTTCCTCCAATGCTCTCACTGCCACTTTGCTGGGGTGCTGCTGGTGGCTCCCTTTGCCTCCTGTCTCCTCCCTCCCCCTGTGTCTTTATTCTCTGGGTTTCATGCAGGCTCCTCTCCCTCTCTCTCTTTCTCTCTCTCCCTCTCTTATTCCATCTGTGCTGCTTCTAATCCACTGCTGGTTCTCTCTTCCCGGCCTCACCTCCCTCGCCTAGAACGGCCCTCAACACCTCTGGCAAAGAGGGCAAGGGGGTGGAGGAGAGGCCGGCCTCGGCACTGAGCTCCCTGAGCTACCGGAAGCGGCTCACCCTGAAGGACTCCATCGCGGGCACCGGGGATGAGGACTCGCTCTTCACCACCCTGAGCGAGCGGGCGGCCTCCCCGGAGAGGCCGCCCCGGAAGACCCGCATGGGCCCCAGGGAGGAGCCAGACGAGTGCGGCTCCATCGTCTCCGAAGCCCTGAGCCGCCCAGGCCGGGGGCTGGAGAAGCGGTGGGGCTCAGACTTTGACCGGGCCTCCACAGTCTCTGCTCCCACCAGCCGGGCCTCCTCAGCCACACGGCGTGGCTCCGGTGAGGATGGGGCCCGCTCGTCCATGAGCTTCTCGCTCTCGGGCTCCCCCATCTCCCGGCGCAGCACCTCCCGGCTGGATACCCTGTCCAGGACCCTCAGTCCTTCCTTGAGCCGCGCCTCGGGCCGGGGCCGGGACAGCCCGGATTCCCGCCTGTCTCTGGGCCAGAGCTGCCTGGATGCGTGGGACGACGAAGCTAGTGTGGCCTTGAGCGAGGCCCACTCCCAGTATAGCCATCCGTCGCTGGCCCGCAGTCTTTCGGTGCCACCACGGCCTCGTGTCTCAGCCTCGGCCACGGATGAGCCCCTTGGCGCTGGCATCCACCCCGTCAGCCGGCACTCCTACCTGGACCCTGACCTGGAGGCTGCCATCAACGAGGTCTTAAGCTTCAAACCCGGCCCGTTCCAGAGGAGCAGCCTGGAGCCCGACTCTGAGGAGGATGACCGGAAGAGCATCCAAAGCGTCCGCAGCGCCCAGGTGGACCTCCCAGCGCGGGCGGCCGGCATCCGCCGCTCGGCCTCCGCTGCTGACGTCTCCCACTCCCGCAGCAGCCACAAGGGCCGGAGCCGGAGACGCAGAAGCTCCCGCTCCAGCTCCAGCTCCGAGGACTCCTCGGAGCCCAGACGGCGGAAGAAGGGGCGCTCGCGCAAGGGCAAGAAGAAATCCAGATCGAGGAGAAAGAGAACGGAGACCGAGTCGGAGTCCTCGTCCAGCTCCAGCGGCTCTACGGTGTCAGGCCACAGCCGCTCGAGCGTGAAGAAGGGCCCCGCTGCCGAAGACGAGGAGGCCGCGGGCCGGCAGTCCCGGCAGTCTCGGAAGGAGGAGAAGAAGCGCAAGAAGGAGGTGGACAGCCTGATGATGCGGTACCTGTACCGGCCCGAGAGCGACTAGCGCAGCAGTAGGTGGCAGCTGGCGTGGGGCATGGAGTGTGCCGCTCGGTGTGAACTAACATGCCCCCACCTCGCCCGCCCGCACAGAGGCCTCTGCTTCGCTCCCGTTGGGCACACCTGGCCTCAGGGAGCCTTCTGGCTCCCACCTTGGAGAGTAGGGCTGGTTAGTCATCCTGAGCCCTGTGCCCCCCAGACTGATCCTGCAGAGGACAGTCACTCACACTTATTAAGTCCCTGCTGAGGGCCAGGGCCCCCCCAGATACTCACCACACTGTGTGCACCTAATCCTCGTGCTAACTCCATAACCAAGTCCGGATGAGCTCCACTTTACAGGAGAGAAAACCGAGGCTCGAGGAAGTGAAGTCACTTGCCACAGTCACAGGTCACACAGCTGGGAAGTGATGTTGCTGGGATCTGAATGGAGGCTGCTCAATTTGCCCTTGATCGCTCCTCCACACAGCCCGGGGCAGAGCACGGGGATGACAGGTTTGGTGCGCGTGCCTGGCAGCACTGATGCCCCCCAACAGGCTGGTCTTGGGAAAGGGCTCTCGCTTCCCTCCCGAGGGTGAGTTGGTGCGCTAGTGGCCGTCATCTATTTTGAGGCCTTCTGGCTCGGCTTTCCCCTGCCCTGCAAAGCCACCTTCCTCCCTGGCACACATCTCAAGCCTCAGAGTGCAAGGCTCCCCAGGGCCACAGCCCCCACAGTACCACACCCTACATCACACCCCGAGGTGCCTGACTCCCTCCCCAGCCCTCCCACCTGAAGCCCACACATGGGCGGCACCTCCTCTCAGAGCATCTTAAAAAGTAATAGTGAATAGAAATTAGCAGCTGCTGACTGACAGACCCCTCCTGGCTCTCCTGCCTCCCCCAGCCTTCTCTCTGTGGGGAGGGAGATCTAGCAGTTAGGCCCTTTATGCCCACACCCCCGTCTCAGAAGAAAGGCACAAAGACTGACTCACTGGAATCCCATTGTTGCCAGTTTCCCTGGTGGGTGGTGACATTTGGATCACCTTGGTTATATGAAGCTGTTTTCAGCATGGTACCTCCCAGGGCAAGCTTGCTGCTTCCCAGGAGATGTGACCCCAGAGTGCCACCCCCTGGAGCATGGCCACTGCATGAACTAACACACCTGTCGCATGCCTGTGGGCCTGTCGTGCCATGGGCACCTGGGCAGGTACACTGATTGGGCAGAATCCTCTCCAAAGGGATCAGTTAACGTTTTAAGAAATGGACAGGTAGGAGTGAATGTTACCTGCAGCGATGTGGAGATGGGTGATGGGATGGGATTAGGGGGATGGTGCAGAGAGGGTAGAATTTAAACCCAGACCAGGCTCGTGGCCGTCTCAGACTCCTCAGACCCTGAGCTGCTCTGAAACCAAGTCCCTGGGCTCAGCACGGGCTCTGTCGCTTCCCCCATGTGGCTGATGATTGCAGGGTGCTCTGGGAAGAGCAGGGAGCATCTGGGTTGCACTAGGGAGCTATTGTCAGAAAAGACAGGAGTCACAATATCAAGTCTACTTCCTCATCCTTCCCCTTGGCAGCCCTGCTGAGTGCCCTCCTCCCCCAGCACAGGAAGTCAGTTGTTAGGCCAGGCTCTTCTGGGTACCGCACCGGAGAGGGAGAGGAAGAGAGGCACAGGCCTAGCTGGGCCATCGTACACCGCCCAGCATCAGACCCAATGCTCTCAGCCTAACATCACCCTTGATCCTATGACCAGCAAGAACAACAACAAAAAAGCCTGTTTCTTGCCCCAGCCACCTGCACAGTTCTCTTGTCCACCAGGAAAGCAGGAGTAGTCCCGAAACCCTACACACCACCACCCAAGAGGGTTGGATTCACAGCGGGGAGAGTGGGCCCCAAGCCAGAAGCTAGCCGGCCAATACTGAGCCAGCCAGAGAAGGGCCGGGGAAGGGAGGGCCTGGCTGGGCTCAGTGCAAACTGGCTTTGGGTAGTTAAACTGCCAAGCATGGGGGCCAGGAGCAGAGCAGTGGCTTAGCTTCCCATCTGGCGACAGGGACCAGCGAGAACTCCGAAGGCGAGCTCATCCATAGCAAAGGCAAGGGGAGGGGGCTGTCACCCTGGGCTCACCCAGCAGAAATTAGCTCATACACCAAATTGTTTGTGACAGCGTTGTGCAGGAGATGCTGGCTTGTGGGGAGGAAAGCTTTTTGAACAATTTGGTTAAAATGTTCACATTGCCAGCCCTGACTCTTGTCCTGGGGAGGGGGCAAGGCGCTGGCTGTTGACTCTACAGCTGTGGCTCCAGAGGCCACAAAGGAGCCTGGCTTGTAGCACACCTGGCTACCTAGGTTCGGAGCAGGGCAGAGGAGCATGGCATTGGCTCCCCTCTCCGGCTACCTCTGCCGCTTGCCCAGCACTTGGATGGAGCTGTGTCAGAACCTGGCTGTCATTTATCCAGGCGTCTGTCTGCTTGGCAATCACAGGAATGTGGGAGTGGGGGCCTCAGCCCAACTCAGGAGAGGTGCGAGAATGGAAAAGAGCTCAGATTGGCCCTACCCAGCAATGCCCTGTCGGCATCTGGGTCGCAGTCCTGGCATCTGCCTAGCCCCCTGTCTCCCCACCGCAAAATAACCCTACTGTTTTTCCACAAAGTCCTTTGCCCAACAGCAGACCTTCGCACTTGGGTGCCCAGAAATTCTGTCCAAAAATTGAAAATAAAACCAGGCTCCCACTAATTTAGAATTCAAACAACCCAAAAGCTAAAATAACCCCAATTTTTTCTATGTTGCACAGTCATCATTGAGCTTTATAATTTTGTCCCTGAGACACCCTAGAGTCCTTAAGTGCCTTTGGCCCATCAAAGTAAGACTCATTTACGTTCAGTCTAGTTTGTATGAAATGTGTTTTGTGCTATTCTGATTCCTTTAAAAATGGTAATACATTCATGAGAAATATGATAACTGTTAACCAGACTGCCCCATTCCTGAACCATTCTGCATAATTGAACATGTATTCTATCAGGCTCTTCCTTCTCCCCGGGGAGACACACACACACAGAGAGAGAGAGAGAGGCCTATCTTTACATACTCCCTGGGCTGTCACCCAGGAGGGCGGGGAACATTCAGGTTTGGTTGTGTTTTCTCTTTAGGTCACCCCATCTAGCAGCAGGGTGGAGTCAGCAAAAGGCTTTGAGGTCTAAGAGTCCAAGTTCAAATTTCCATACTGGCTATGTGACCTTGAGCCAGAACCTTCCTCTCTTTGAACCAGCTTCCTGGTGACATTTCATAGGGTTATCATGAAGAGTAAGATGGGTGTCCAGAGTGCCCGGGACAGTGTCACACACAGGAAGTACTCCATAGCCAAACCCTTTGCTCCCAACACAGTTGGAAAAGCTAAGAATGTGGGTCTTTCTTGCAGAACACTGTTTCCCCCTCTTTCGGTTTGAGGATGGGAGAACTGCCAAGGGGCCAATAAACAAGGTCCCCCATCAGATTCTTAAAGCAGAGTTGGGGGCAGAGGGATCACGGAATTCCTGTTTATCCTAGGGAAAGCTCTCTAGGATCGGGAGGCAGAGCTGTGTCCCTGGAAGCGCACTGGGCAGGGACTCTGGGTGCAGGACCCTGGGGAGGGCGGGCGGGGGGAGAGGGGACACAGTCTGGGCTGCATTTTGTTCAGTGTTGAAATTACAGTGCACTTGAACCAGTGATGGCAGCAGAGGTGGGAGGGGCAAGGGCAGCCGGTTCTAAGGCTTTGGGAAAAAAGGAAAAAAGATAACTGGAGCAAGAGGTTTCTGTCCTTGCTCAATGCCATGAGCCTGCCCCATCCAGGGGATAATTATCCTTCCCATCCTGGTGAGAGGAAGCTGGAGGCCTGATGAAAACTCTGTAGGATTGGGTTATGGTACCAAGAAAGGGACGACTATGCCACCATGAAGCAGAATTCTAGCCAGTCCCTACATCCTGAGCCTCCTTCCCTTGTGGTGAGTAGATGATGCCACGGTCAAGGACAGAAATGCTCACAGGCCTTAGGAAAACAATAAAGAGAAAGGATTAAGGTCTGGGAGTATCCAGTGGGGAAAGACCCTCCCTCTCAGAAGGAATCATGGTTAGGGGTGAGGTTACCAACCCGCAGTCTCCAAGTCAGTGTGGTCCATGGACCACCAGCATCAGAGTTTTCTGGGGAAGAACTGAAAATGCAGAATTCCTCGGTTCCACCCAAAAGCTAACAAATCACAATTTCTCAGGGGGAAGGACACAGGAGTCTGTTGCCGATTCTTAGGTTGAGACCTACAGCTCTACGGCATTGCTTTCCAGGGAATTTCAGAAATTTTTGGAATCAAGACCATGCTCTCCTTTCTGTCACTACTCTGCGTATCTTCCGGGGAAGTGATGGATTGGAGTCACCTCTCAATTTGTGGCTTTTGAGGAATGCTGTGACGGGGTTGTGGGAGCCTCCCCAGACCCAGAGGCTTTGGTGCTGAAGGTTTAAGGGAATCGTTCCACCATGACCTTGCTCTTCTCTCCCCGCAGCCCTACCAGCTACTGGAAGTCCCTTGCCCCTGACCGGTCAGATGATGAGCACGACCCTTTGGACAGCACCTCCAGGCCACGATACTCCCATAACTATCTGAGTGACAGCGACACAGAGGCCAGACCGACAGAGACCAACGCATAGCCCAGGGGAGTGGTCTGTACCTCTCGCACCCCCCGGGCCTCTGCTGCCACGGCGCCTCTCCCAGGAAGTGGCAGGGCACAGGTCTCCCCCACCAGACTGCTGATCCACATGGGAAACACCCGCCCCCCTAGGTCTGGGGGGCTTTCCACGCTGCGGGTGTCTGACATCTCCACATGGAAGAGGTGGGGGGGTGGACAGGGCAGAGAGGAGTTCCTGAAAACAGAACTTTTTGCTCCTTCTGCCTCCAAAATGCCACACTCTGTGGGCAGTGGCAGGTGGCTTTGGCACTGCATGGAGCCAGCAAGCTGACCTCCATCTCAGCCCCCTGCTCAGGGACGGTGGACACATTGCCTGCTGGGACACTCTAGGTTGCTGTGTCCACAGGGAGGAGTCGGGGGCAGGAACAGCCATTCCTCCCTACTGCCCCCCCCCTCCCCACAGCCCCCAGCTTGGGGTGAGGGCTTTCTCTTCTCAGTGCCTGCTGTCTTTTTACTTTTAATTTAAATACCCAACCTCTCCATCACAGCTGCATCCCTGAGAGTGGGAGGGGGCCGTGATGGCAGCTGGAGTTTGCAGGAATGACTAGGGGAATCTCATCTCCATCTTCGCTTCTCCGAGAGCGGTCCTTTCTCTGTGCAGCTGGAGAGACCGGTGAACGGAGCAGGAGCCGGATTCTTCGGTCAGCCTGAGGAGGGGCGCTCAGGTGCTTCTGGGTATGGGTTGAGCCAGCCTGCACAGACAGGGGTGCCTCGGTACCATCCGGCACTTTCAGGCCCCACCCCCTCTGTCTCATCAGTCTGTTAAGTGCAATGACCTATTTAAGACGAAACCCATTCCACCCACACCAGGGCGGGGCCTATCCAAGCGTTGCTTCCCTGCCGCTCTGTCATAGTTGCCTGGACCATAGGCCCAGCTGGAGAGGGAAGGCCATGGGTGGAGGGCTCGTGATCAGAAAAACTGAAGATGGGGGTTTGGGTCAGTAGTGATGTGTATTAGACACAAGCCTCCACCCGTGTCCTAAGCCGGAGTCATTTTTCTTCTTCCAGTTGTCTTGTCCCCGCACACTTACCCTAGACATGACCACATGTGGCCCGACAGCCCCATCCCCCACCCTAAAGGTCATCCCGCCAATGCCACCAGACTTGGGGGCCCGAGGGCAGTGCCTGGTGCTGCTCCCATCCGCTGTCCCCCCCACCCCCTCTCCTGCAGTTGGTTTGTACTCATTGGGCTGTGCTCTCTCTTCCCTGTTTACCTGATGTACGGAAATAAATGTCCTTTTCCTCCTGGCTCTGCCAATTTTCCTGCCTGTTCCTTCAGGTTCAGGTAAAGTCCTGGGTGGTCCCTGGGGAACAGAGTCAGGATTCTGGTGGGGACCGGGGGGAAGCGCCCGGGTAGCTGGTCTACGCCCACACCAGACCAGTAACCACTCAGAGCTTTTTGGAAGGTCATTTGGGGCAGGCAAAGCTAGTAGGATGAGAAGGTTGATCCAGAAAGACAAACACCGCCTTTTAAGAGCCTGCAAATTGTAATCAGGTGAGCCATCCTTGCCGCATCCTCTCCTAGTCTCCACTCAGAAATGTTGAGGTTTCTCTGGTTATTAAATCTCACCAATTACAGAAGACTTTTTGTTTGTTTGTTTGAGGGATGCAAGTCCTTCTTACTAGAAAAAAGTTTTAGGTTTAATTTTAGTCATTCCAAATAAGACTTTCTGACCAAACATGGCAGAACTCCCTCTGGCCCCCAGCCCCATTGGCCACAGGGCAACTTGAGTAGGCTGGGAGTTCTGGCTTCTCTGCCCTGTTCAGTCTCTGCCTTCATGCCTCCATTTACGCTTGGTCTGCTCACTGTCAGCTAAGAGACAGCTCTTGCAAAAGGGCAAAAAACAAATGACTCCTCCTACTCCTCTACCTTCTGTAATGTGATCAATTATAATCCCTGCACACATAAAGTTTCTTTTATAACTGGTCAATCAGGCTCCCCTGGTTTGTACAGGAAGGCAGAAAAGGGTATGAGACAGCCCTAACACCAAAGCTCTGGTGATGTCAGCCACCCAGAAAGGGTCAAGAAAGAGAAGGAGGGAGGAAAGTCCCCCAGAGTGACTGGGAAAGGAGTATAAAATGGGTCCATCTTGAATGAAAGTCTTCCTCTCTCCACTGCTTCCCCTCCCCCGGTTGAGTAGAGAAGGTAGTAAAAGTAAAGTTCCTTTTTTTTTTTTTTTTAATTGTTGTCTCCTCATGTTCAACTTTTACTCATGCTTTCAAATAGGTGGGTGCATTTTCTGTTTCTCCCAGGAGCTACTGTGACCCCATCCCTCCCATCTGCAGACAAGATTCCAACTCTGTCGATCCACACTGTCTCAGGCCTTTGGTTAACCAGAAAGACCATCATCAGTATATACTGATGCCAACAGTAGTCTGGGGCAGGGGGCTTTGCTCAAGTCTGAAAGCTTATATTATTCATTGATTCATTCACTCAACAGATATTTCATAACTGCCTGCTGTGACCTAGGCCCTATTCTAAGTACTGGGGACCAATGAGTTTCCTTCCTTCGTAAAGTAGATTTTCTAGTGGAGAAGATAGACATACAAAATAGGTACCTACTAATATGTATGTGCAAGTTTTGCGTGAGTAGAAAGATGTAAATCATAGTGTTTGTCGTCTAGGGGCTCATGGATTGGGGCAGACCCACAAGGAAACAATTACATGAGACCTAACAGAAGGAGAAAGAAGTTGCTTCGCACATATTATGGGGGGAGCCTGGGAGAGGAGTTTCAGGTGGAGGAGGATGGGAAAGCTTCTAAAAGCTGGTATTTTGAGCTGGGGCTTAAAGACAGGCTTGTACTTCCATAGGTGTACTGGAAAAAAAGAAGAGCTTAAGCAAAGGCCCTGAGGCAGAGAAAGATGGGTGGTCGTAGGGGTCTCCACAGGTTGCCTAAGGAAGCCAGACACAGCCTCTCATGACCAACACTTCAAGTTGCAGCAAAGCCCCTTGTCCCGGAGTGCTAGGCTCCAGGCTGGGACCAAGGCCATGCCCTCAGCACCAACTCCCCAGAGAAGTCCGGGAGCAGGGGACCATCAAAGCCCAACTTCCTTTTGGGTGTGCCTTCAGAGCTCTATAAGCTCCCACCCTCCCCTGTACACTCATGCCAACTCTGGTCCCTAAGATATAAAGGATTCTTGCAAAACAGGCAGCAGATCTATGCCTGTACCAGGCTCAAAGGTGCCTCGACATTTTCTCCTCTCCAATTTTAGGACCCTCAGGACTGCTCTGACTCCTAGATGAGAGGTGAGGACCAAAGCCCAGCGAGGCTCCCAGTGGTACCCGGTCAATGCCCAGAAATGATAGCAGCCCACAGTGACTCCTGAACTACCTCCTTTTGTCCTGTGTCCCCTTGGCAGATTATCCTAGTTGTCCCCCCCTTACCCCACCCCCATGCCTGGTGGCACAGACACTTAGCGATTTGCTCCTTAATTGTCCCCCAGCTAGGCTGCGCAGATGCCGCTCTTTAATCTCTCCTGATAAATGAATCACGCCGCTCCTTTAATCATATGTTCATATCCAAGCCAATTTGAATCAATTTGGCGGTGAGCGTGTTGCAAGAGATGCCATGACTGCTGCTCTCCCCTCCCGGCCCCAAGAGCCAGCCCGTCTGCTGTCCTCATCCTCCACAAAGAGCCCAGGAGGCCCATGGGAGGAAAGGATCTCCTACCTGAATGGTGGGGACTTTCAAAGTCAATCATTCATTCCTGTCCTCCAGGCTGGGCCCTGTGGGACTAGAGGGAGCCGGGTTCCCAAGGGCCTCCCACGTGGGAGAGAGGGGGCTGAATCCACAGCCTGCCTTCCTTGTCACTGAACAAAGGGCCCCACTGTCATCCTTGGAAGAAAGTGCTGCCTTAAATCTAACCATCATCCTTCTGTTCCCCTTTCATTTCCTCTGAGCTGGTTCTCAGGGAGGCTGAAACTCTTCCTCACCTTCTACATAGCAACACAATTCCAGCCCAGCCTATGGTCATTTGTCCTTGCCTGCTGCTGCTTCTGGCTGCCACCCCAGAAGCGGTGGGAGTCTATCTGTCTGGGGTTGGTTCCTGTCCAGCAGACCAGAGGCCCCTCCGCGTCCTCTTCGTGTCCTCTCGGTCCCACCCCGCAAGCTCTGCCAGTCCGGGAAGGCGCCCTCCCATTCGCTGGGAACCGTGTATTAGCATATTCATATCGCATTTGCATGACCGGGACCCCGCCCCCGCCTGAAGGGTCTTCCAGCACCTCCGCAGCTCCGGGAGGCCAAGGCCAGGAAGCCGCTGCCCGCCTCCAAATGTTCTTAGAGCAGTTGACGGGGGGCCCCGAGCCCATCGGCCTTGCCCTTCAAGGACCGTCTGCGTGAGGACCCGTCTCCTCCCTCAGCCCGACATACTGTTTTCCCGCCTCTTTGAGGGCTCTTGGAGGTCCTTGGCAGAAGCTGGGAATGAAGGGTGCCCTTTCCCCCCTGTCATTGTGAAACAGGGATGAGAAGGATGACAAAATCAACAACAATTCCCATTTTGCTGAGCATCTACTTATTATGTTCCCATTTGCTGAGCATTTACTATGTCTTCTAACCTTTGTCACAACCATGCAGTGTCCTGTCCTTGAGGCTCAAAGAGGGGATGTGTGTCCTAACAGCTTGGTTCTAGCAAAGGGCCAGGTGTCTCCCAGCAATTCTGGCCTTGTCAGGGGGAAAAGGGAGACGGGAGAGTCCCAGGAATCATTGTCAAGTTCCTCATCTTTAATCGCTGTGTGCCTGGTATTCAGCAAAGCTTGGCCTAAGTAAGGAAACACTTCTTGGCATTTGGAGGGAAATGTCAACCTTACATTTCTGTTGCTCCTTACAATTTTCAGAGCACCCTCCATACATTATCACATTCTGTGCTTCATGCATATGGTGCCAACAATATGAGTAACAGCTCCACATGGCCCGGAATGCATATATTA